ATTGTGTCACTTCACTTTGCACAGACAAATATTAAAGTAATGAGGAAAACCTTGGTAAAATTTTACTCTCATAACCTAGTTATGGGAAGATGTAAGGTGAGCTATTTGCATAAATAACTCATCCCTTACACCGACTTCATCAGGGTCTGGCTCGGTCCAGTTTCGTGGCCCACAGGAACAGGTTTATGTGAGGCCAATAAAAAATACCAAGAAGCAGCAGAACTTGTCCTCAACAACTGTTTAATTATCACCATGAGCCAAAAGTCTGTTTCAACAGACAATTAGCTTCAATTAGCTTCTGCTAAGTTATTTTGTGCTCAAGGCTAGTGCTTTAGAACTATAGGGCACCTAAATAAAATTGCCAACGCTTTAGGACTTGCACAACTAATTTTTAGATTAGTGCTGCCCATCACTGCCCAAACAGAATATAAAACCATCTTTGCAGAACCAGGAGAGACTAAATTCAACATTTCTGCACTCCTAGAGACTCCAAGTACACAACAATATAAATTTTACAGTTAAAAAGTCTATTTTGCATGTTTCCTTTAAAGTGGTACAAGTTACAAGTTTGAGAAGCATTGCTCTTACCACAAAACTAACCTATATTTTCACAAAGCTGTGCTAAACAGCTAGTCGCATAACACACAAATATTGAGAAAAATGCATGTTTTTGAAAAAATGTAAATGAATGAGAAGTAAAATACTCTCAGTACCCAGGGAATTCAAAAAATGAGTCATGCTGACACAGGAGTAAGGCATTTCAGACCTGGCCTTAAAAGGTTTAGTGAAAATGTTTGCTGCATTGAAAAAGTGTTTGACTTAGGTTGTCTCTTTTAGGTTTTACAGATAGAAGTTTTTTGATTCTCATGAAGAAGATGCCTGATCTGGAGCAGCTCTATGGTCTCCACCCTCGGTCCCTGGAAAGGAGACGAGCCCGAGGTTATGAGGCTTTCAGTATACCTGGAGTCCTGGAGGCACTACAAGCATGTCCCAATCTGCTGGTTAGTATGGATTACTGTGGTATGTGTGTGTGTGTGTGCGTGTGTGTGTGCGTATTACCCTCAGGAGCCAATCCAGCATCTTGTTAGCTTAGCATGCTAGCTCTGGATGTAATTCCAGCAGCTTTGTGTCAAAAACTCCGAAGTGGCTGCGCTCTGTCAGTTGTAATAAGGTCACTCGGTCACAGAGAGCTTTAGCAAGTTGTGTCTTAATTCCACAAAACAGGGTGAAAAGTAGAAGTAGAGAAATACATAACTTGACTCGGAGAGCTCTGCAATGTCGCCCTCTGGGGAGCGCCGTTTTGGAAACATTCTTTATAGAGCACATCTTTGTAGAGCTTTTGCGTGTCTTTTGTTAGCATATTTCTTTAATCAACATTCAGTTTCACCTGCTTTACCACAGTTACAGTGGTTTGCAAAAGTATTCATACCCCTTGAACTTTTCCATATTTTGTCACATTACAACCACAAACATAAATATATTTCACTGGAATTTAATG